ATAGAAACAACTTCAAGGACTTTTCAATCAATTTTTTTTTGACAAATATACGCGAAAAAATAGAATTGCTAACTTAGGATAAATATCAATTGTTCACCAACAAGTTTTTTAAAATCTTATCAAGAATTTTTAATTATTTCTAATGAACACACCTATTTTGATACAGAAGAAGAAGAAAAAAAAACAGATTCGTGATGATTAGTAGAAAAAAGCATTTAATAATTTCACAACAGAACATAGAAATCAATTCATTAATGATAATCCACCAATGAACAGTTGTTGACATCTTTTGTGTTAATTAGCAAAACTCTACAGGGAATTATTAGTAATACTATTAGTTATGGTTTTGCCGGAGAGAAAACGAGAGTGGAAAATATCAAAGTTGTTTCTTTATCAAAGATTGGTACAAAAAAAAACCGAATAATTCGTCGCCTGGTAATTCTAAGAAAAATGCACTTCGATCTATACACCACTCTCATCGAATAAAATTTTCAATATTTAAATAAAACTCTTAGTGAAACACATCATAGTTTCCCAATGTGAACTGATTAAATTAAGAAATATGTTTTTTTCAAAATAATTGTACAAAGATTACATGTAAATTCTAATTCGAAATATTTCGCACATTGAGCCGAACTCAAATACCATCTATTGAATTCATTAATTCATGAATAGATCCTTTTCTTTTTTTTACAGATTACTAGAATGAATAGCCTTCGGAGAAATCTATATGCCTAATAACTTTGCGTATAGTTTTTCTGTTCTGAAGAAAATCATCTAACTTTGTATACAATTAAGTCTTGTCAGCAAATGCCCAGATTTCTTCAATAACATATGGTTAATGGGTACCATAAAAAAAACAAATATTACTATCATATTGGATTGTGGAGACATGCTAAAGAAATCTTTTTTTTCTCTTATCTTTGCGTTGTTACATACTCTCATAGTAATTTGTTAGTCAAGAAGCTAAATATCAATATTCATATATGATGCTTTTGCCATTGATATTTTTCATACTCAGAATAATAAACCTTGATGCTACTCGCGTATGTTTAAACACATTTTAAGTTTATTTTATGATATTTTTTTTTGTATTTGTTGAATATTAGACAAAGTTATGTCCTGCTTTGACATTACCTCAACATGGATTTTTCTTTTCGGGTTATTGTGAACGAGAACCAGGTTCATTATGTGGTCTCGGATGTTTAAGTGGTTATCGTCTTGTTGATGGTGATAGTTTTCGTGAATGTCAACAAGATGGCATTTGGACAGGACAACAACTAAAATGTCAAGGTATAAATATTTTATCTATCCGAATTGATTTCTTTTTGATTTATTATATAGAAATTCGTTGTCCTCTATTAAAAATAAATACTAAAGTAGTTCAAGAATGTTCGCCTGAACAGAACAGTAGTGATTTTAAAATTGGCACAAAATGTCAAGCAAAATGTAGTGAAATCGGTTATCGATTAATTGGACCACATACACGGCAATGTTTAATTTTAGGCATATGGTCAGGTTATGAACAATTTTGTGTTGGTGAGAAAATAATTAGGCAGATGAAAAAGAAGATTTTATTTTATTTTAGTTAATAATGAAACAACAATGCATGCAATCACAAGTACAAATTCAACTCAATTGTTAACAACAACAACAACAAACATTCGAAAATACCATGGTAAGAATACTTGATTGATTTTTATATGCTTCTTTTTTTTTTAATTTAATTCTATAAGATTATTCAAATTTCGCTTTGAGTATTAATAAAAATGATACGGGTATTGCTGTATCATTTGTTCAACCATCACAATTTACTATCATATTTTGGTTTTATCTTGAAAATAGTGATAATGCTTCTCTTGTTTCATTAAGAGAAAATAACGATAAAAAATATTTCGAAATTGTTGTTCGTCAAAAAAAGTAATAAATTTAATAATGATAGTTTTATTTAATAATATTAATTTTCTATTTGAATAGACTTGTTTTTTATCATTTATCTCGAAATCAAACTCAACCAACATTAATTAAAATTCCTGTTTCAAAATGGAATCATTTTGCATGGATATATTCAAATAAAATTCAACAATCATATATATACATTGATGGTATACGTCAACAATCATTTGATTTTAAAATAATGAACTTTAATTTTAAAAGCAAGTAAGCCTAAATGAAATATATGTACAAATATTTATGTTTTTTAAATTTAATTAGATATTTCATCATTAATTTTATTTAATCAAGCATTTCATGGTCTTGTAACAAGATTAGAAATTTGGAATGAAATGTTATCTGAACAAAAAGTATTAATTAGTTATCGTGATTGTCGAAAACAAAATGGAGATATTTTCTCTTGGTCAAAAGTATCAGATCAAATATGGATTGATATTAATAAATTGAAAAGTTCATCATTTTGTTCTGGTAAGATTCGGTTTTTTTCTCAAACACGTATTTCAAATTTTAAGTTTCACAGAAATTTATGCTAACAGTTTCTCTTTCTTTTTTTTTTTTTATTTATTTAATTAATCAATCAACAATAAATAATTTATTGATTAGGATGTACGGAACCTGCATCAATTCATGGTGGAATATATCATGTATCTGATTATGAAGTTGGTTCATTTGTTGAATATAAATGTAATTATGCTCATGAAATGATTGGTATTAATCGTGCTTATTGTATGGTACCATCAGAATGGTATCCATTACCACCGATTTGTAAATGTAAGTCATATATTTATTAATCATTCAAATAGAAAAATAAAATTTATTATATTTAAAAAAGATAATCCTTGTACATCAGACTGTGAACAATGTGACACAAGCACAGGTGTTTGTTTAAGACAAAAGATTAAAATAAATCTTCAAAATTGTGATCCTCCATGTGATGAAGATGAAGAATGTATTGATGGAGAATGTGCTTGGTCAAATATAGGTGACAAATGGACTTCGACAACAAATGATAATATATGTAATCCACCATGTCCTTTGGGAACACAATGTATTAATCGACGATGTGAACCAACTTTAACATCTTCTTGTCGAATACCGTGTCGACTTGGTCAACTATGTATTGATGGTCGATGTGGATGTTCTAAAGGTTAATTAATTACTAATTATTAACAAAACTTAATTATGTTTCTAATTATTAGGCATATGTGAAAATGGTCGTATATGTTATGAAGTTTGTGAAACAGGTGAACGTTGTTATAATTGGTCATGTAGTTGTGGTTTTCAAGGTAAATGTGGTAAAGGTGAAATATGTCTTTCGGATATTTGCATGTGTGGTATAAAACGTGGTGGTTGTCGTTCACATGAACATTGTATTCAAGGAAAATGTGTTTGCAAGACAGATTCATGTGATCAATGTAATAATACATGTAAATCAAATGAAATTTGTTTAGATGGAAAATGTATTTGCAAAGAACAATGTGAAAAAAGTAAAATTTTGATAAAAAAAAAAATTATTCTATTTCCTATTGTTTATATATATTATAGCATTTTGTCCGTTTCCATGTTTACACGGAGGACGATGTACAGGTTTTTATCAATGTACTTGTCGACAAGGTTGGGAAGGTCATCGATGTGAACAACGTCAAAGAAAAAATATAACTATTTCCTAGATAAAAACAAAAATGTACTTTTATCTTGATGATAAATAAAATAATTAATTCATTAAAAATGACTTAGTTGATTACAAAAAAATAAACACTATACGTAGATTATTTATATAAGCAATGCATACGAATAAAGAACAAATTAACTATATGATTCGATTATTATAGTTACTTAAAATATAGTAGAAGTAATGCCGATGGCATGATAATATCGTATAGAAGGTTCAAGGAAATTTACTTTCTCTATATGTGTATTGATATCAAAAACAGTGCTACAAGTTTCTTTAATCGATATTCTGATAACGAAATTTTCATAAAGGGCTATTCATATCTGTTTTACATAGATAGATAAATGTCATCGAAAACACATTGGACAAAATCGAACAAATTTATTATTTTATTAATGATGATATCAATTGAAGAATCATGTAATATAAAACACTGTTTGTGCTATCAGTATATAAAGAACGAAATTTTTCTCAAGCTTTTTTAACGGTATAATACTGCTACCGTCATTATTTTTGGTATACTCTAAGTAATTGCATCACAAAATGTATCATTTAATTCAGTATCACACTGGAATATCGCTAACATTCCTATCGATTCAATACTACTTGAGTATTGTTTGTAAATTATCGATGAGGAATTTTCAAAAGAAAAAAGACTAAAAGGATAGTTCGTTTTATTCACGATAATAAACAACAAAACTGAAACTACGAGTTTTTAAACAATAATTTTTGTTCATCTTCATTTTCTTCTCGATATCAGCTATTTTCAGTATAAATTTATAGCTGTAAATATGAAAGTAAACTAATTCTGCGAAAATATCAATTTATTCAATGACAGCTACGTTAACAATGTATTCATGAAGCTATTCACAATTCGATTCTATGTTATATGGTATTAGATATCCATTAGTTTAAAACTGTTATATTGAATAAATAAAAAATTCTGATTACTCGATCTCTTATAGATCAGCTGGCTAGAGACCAGAGAACTACGACTCATGCATATATGTCTATATAATAAGGAT